TGAAAGCTGCCCTTTTCTGGCTTTGAATCCGGATGACTATACCAACCTTGGTATCTCTCTGCTGGATTTAATATAGGATTCAAATTCAAGAGCTCTGGCCATTGCATCTTGTATAGTAGAGGGGTGTGCTTGCTTTACTTGTATCTTCAGTTGTGGACTGTCCAAGGCTGATCCCTCAGCAACAGCTGGAGGACATCGGGTGGTGCAGTTGGGTAGGCCTTGTGTGCCATACTTTCCAAGTCCTGTGCCAGCTCTTGCAGGCTCTCTTCTTTAGCACGGTCTGTAGTCCTAAACCTAGCCTTGTAGACTTTGGACTGATTTTGGGTTCCATACCTGAGTTCTAGAGCCGCTACAGGTGCTCTATAGTTGTGCCTGTTGTTTGCTGACAACTGTCCAAGTTTTTCCAGTGGTTGTCCCTTCAAGCTCGTTGCCAGATATACTGCTTTCTGCTCCTTTGTCCATCCATTCATCTCTGCCTGAAGCTCAAATTGTGCTCTACATGCTTCCCATGGTGCCTTCCCATCGAATTCCTGGGGCTTCCTTCATACTATTGCTAACATTCATATCTGGGATGTGACTTCTATCAGGACTGAAGATGTCTTCAGTAGGGTTTAGCTGCAGGTTCTGGAAGGTGCTTCCCGTTTTCTGAGGCTGATTAGGTCGATGGCTAATATATCCTTCTTGTGTAAAAGACAGTAAATCATCCTTTAATGTATTTAATTCACTTTTAAATTTGCTAATGTTTTCCATTTGTACTTTTTGGCACTGTTGTTGACTTTCCTGTAGTTGCTCCTGACTTTCCTGCAACTGTTGGAGACTTTCTTCTTGTTTCCTTTCTTGTTCCAGTTGCCACTACTGTAATCTCTCTTCTTATTTATTTTCTCATTCTTCTTGTTTCCTTTCTTTTTCCTCTAACAACTGCTGTAATCTCTCTTCTTGTTTCTTTTCTTTATCCTCCAACAACTGCTCTAATCTCTCTTCTTGTTTTTTTTTTTGCTGTACTTGTATTGCT